GCCTTCAAAGAAGAACAGGATAAACTTATAGCACCTAAGAGGGCCACATCACATCCTAAGCACAGAACTGCAGATGCCATCTGAGGGCTGCCACTGGAACAAGGAACATGCCAATCACACCTGTACATCAGCACTCCTGCAATGGAGCACCAGCAGCTCAGCACGGACACTCCCCTGGCTCAGAAGTGCTCAGATGATCGGAGGGGCTGCTGCCCCTTATGGAAGGGAAATGCTACTTATACCTGTAGCCTGTTCATGGAATCCATAAGCAAGAAACAACCCCCCCAGCCTGGCAGCACAGGCACAGCACACGAACTCAGTGAGAGACTGCCCTTGGAGAGCTTCCCGTCTGTGACAAGCACAAAACACACCCAAATGAAATGTTTTGTTAGTACATACCCATGAAACGTGTGAAGCAGAGCACCCAGCTACAACAGACAGAAAACCTGCTCTGTACTGAAATACGAAGACATGTTCTTTCCTAGATATCTCCCTTCCTTCCTTCCTCCCTTTGAGAAAACTTTTTTGATGTATGTAGCAAGGTATGTGCCAAGATAATGCAGAAAAGGTGAAAATGGAACATTTAACGTAGAAGTTGACTTCATAGTTCATTTAGTGCACTCTGCAACACAGAGGAACCTGTCAGTTTTTGTTGAACACTCATCAGTATTCCACAAAAAGAGAAGGGCCAGGGTGTGGTCAGAATCTAAACACCTGAGATCTAAAAAGAAATTTATTTAATGCATGAAGGAGAAGCCTTAAGCAAGGCCAAGGCTCAGTAAGAAGTAATGCCAACAGGGTCACTTAAGGGACCATCACTTAAATTCCATTACCAGAATGAAACTACTCCATTTGGAGTCCAAAGACCATTTTAACCACTCAGAAGAGAACACACCACCAGACAGCTGTACATGTAGGCAGCTGAGCCTGTGTCATAAGGTATGATAAAGCTGCTGTGATTGTTATTTAAATTGGGGTGGGGAGGGAAATGTTTTAAAACAAACCAGGGATGACCAGACTTTAACATAATGAACCCTTCTCCTGAGCTTTTAGTCTTGCATGTACAGATTACAACAGATTTAATCCTAAATTTAGCCCACAACTGAGCTCTGCAAGTAATATTTTCCTTTTACCCTTCATTACCCTCTCCTTCTTACTCAAGCATGGAAAGCAAAGATTCAAATGCCAGCCATAACATGGAAAGGTATCTTTAAAGGGGGGCAGAACCCACAGAAACCTATGACATACGGTTTGCCTTTGTGTCAGTCAGCATGGCTTGAAAAACAGCTCTTTAGACTTATTTTGTTATTTGTAAAGACATATCTAGGGAAAAAAAGGTTTACAGCAAATTAGACCTAAAAGCAACTAGATCTAAACTAAAAGCAACAATACCTAAAAGCACAATTTCAGCAGGAGCTGAGTGATGCTAAAACAAACAAACAATTTAGCCATTGTTTTGTACCTCTGAAGAAAGAGGCCCAGCATGTTCAAAACGTTTTTTCTCCATATGCTTCCCATTCAAAGGCCAGAGGATTAAGGCTCCACTCAAAGGAAACAGGCAAGGAGAAATATTAGGGGGAACTCATAAACAGCATCTGCTCAGGAGGTACCACTGCTGTTTGAAAACAGGAACACAAGCAGTCAATACTAAAGCCCCTGCCCTGGTCCTTGGTCCAATGTCCCAGTGTAAGGACAGGATGCACAAGTGGCAAAACAGCCAGCAAAGCACATGGTGTGAGATGTCTTTGCACACCAATTCACTACCCGAGAGTGTGCTTGGTTCCCTCAGTGTGGAGTCACCCAACATGGCACTCTCATTTCTCAGGTCCCACTACTGCTTACAAAACACAGCTGGCCTCTCCCCCAGCCCCTCTGCCCCCCGTGGGCTGGCAGCAGGTGCCAACACACTTTATCTTAGGCAGGACACTGCCTGGTGTGCTGGGATGTGCAGACACAGAGGGCAGGCATGAGGAGAACGTGTCTGTCCTGCCCTGAGGCTCAGCCCTGCAGGAACCCCCAAGGAGAGGGGCACCAAGGCATGAGAGACTCGCTGGCATCCCTGGCCAAGGGCCCCCTGTCCCTCACCTGCTGCACTTGGAGGCTGCAGAGCAGCTGGTTTATCACACATCCTGGATGTGCTCCCAGCCCTCTCCACCAGCATGAGGGGATGTCATCCTATATCATCAGCCCTGTGGTAGAAACGACTTTGCTGCTGCCTGTGAGGCAGGCATGAGCTTATCCATGTAGACCTGCTGCACGGTCACTTCAGCCATTCCTAGAAATACTGCAGTTGAGAAGCAATGACATTTTCAAGTGCCGCAGTGAAGGCTGTTTGTCCCTCCTTCCCTCCCACCCCATTCATCGCCGCAGCTCGATTTGTTTGCTGATTGCCAGGGGGTGAGTCATTGGTTTCTTAGATACCCTAACATGAAGCAAGCAGTCACTTTATGTGAGACAGATGCAGCAGGATCCATCACCACCCTGGAGAAGCGGGACTCCACTCAGTAACCTGCAGCAGCCACTCTTCCTCCCAGAGCTCGAGTACTAGCGCTGCAGCCAGAGATGAGAGGGATGGGCAAGGCAAGACAGAGCAGAGGCTGTGGAAAAGGACATGAGTGAGAGACAAACAGAGGAGCTGCCACAGCAGGTTGTGCAGCTGCACTGGAGCAAAACCCTGAGGAAGCACCAGAGGTTCCGAGGCCAGTCCTGCGTGACTGGAGGCTGAGATACCCTGGGGCTGTGCCCTCAGCGCCGCGGAGAGCCCGTCAGACCTGCGACTGCAGGGCTTTCCTCTGCACTCAGGAACATAATCAGCTCTCTTTCTTTCATTATTGCCCTTGTCCACAAAAGAGGCATCTTCAGGGCTCTCAAATCCTAGACAGAATCCTGCTGGGGGGAAAAAAAGTGGGTCATCTTCGTGACAACCTCTGAAAACAAAATCAAAGCGCTACAGCTTTGTAAATGTATGTAACTATATTAAAAACACAACTTACACGCAATATATAAATATATTGCACATATGTGTCAAAAAACACGTGGTTTTAATTACTGAGGTATCCAAGGATTTACTGCCTCTGAGCCTTTATCTGCTGTATCTCGGTCAAACCTCATAAGGCTGCATTTGAAATCACACTGTGCTAAGAAAACAAATGATTAAAGCAGAGCTAGGGAGTCAGGGGATTAGTCTATTCTGCATGGCCTTGAGCAAGTCATTTTTAGCTCTGAGGCCCTAATCTTATAGTGAGCCTGGGGCAGATGAAACCCTTGAACATCACAAAAAGCACTCTTAGATTTTTTTCCTATTTGAAAAATGGAGATGACAACAAATACCTCTTGGAGAAGCATCTTAATCACTAATCTGCATTAAATGCTTGGAAATGTGAAGTATTACAGTGATTAAGTACAAAACCAAATTAACATTTAGCCTTCAGAGTCAATAAGGTAGAATGACAACACAAGCATCCACTGTATTCAGCTCACAATCACCACTGGAAAAATCCAACACTAGGAAGCTGTAATAGTCTCTCCCCCTCCTAACCACCAGCTGTAACTATAAACAGAATACAAAAGATGAGTATCTAAATGAATTAGTCCTGAACTGCATCCTCTATCTTGTTAAATGCAGGAAGCCCACACAGAGCAGTTTCAAAGGGACTAATGAAGGAGAAAAGCAAGCTCCAGGATCTCAGTCCTTGAATTGCCCAGGCTTCAGACAAAAGGCACCAGTTCTGCAAATAAAGGAGCAAATCTTGCAGCTGCCATGACTTAGAGAACACCCTTTAAAATGCAAGACTTGTCCTTCATTACGACCATGACAACTTCACTGTCCTAAGAGGACCATTCATTCCATGTATTCAGCAGGAGACACAGAATCCTGCTGCCTGCCTGCCTTAGCAGTAAGTGCAAGTCTGGATTAGTTTTATCAGGGGTTTCACTTTTTGAACTAGTTTTCCACTTCCATGCATGAATGTAGAGTGTACCTCATATCATCAGAGGCATTTATTTGCACATAAGATGAGACAGCTGCATTGCAAGTCTGTGTATTTTCCTTACTTATAATAGGGTAGAAAATTAGAAGTGGGTTCTCAGCACCCTCTTGTGGATGTGTGCTGTGGTAACCACTATGTATTAGTAAAATTTCATTGCAATTCAAAGCTATACAATTACTTTTGCAGCAAAACTGAAACTGGGAAGCTAAATGTGAATGGCAACACTTGGTAGTTTATTATTATTTTTAATACCTGACTAAAACCCGTGTTGTTAGTGCACACATCTCTTGTGCCACATTAAAAAAGCTGCCAAGCTCCACTGCAATATGTGAACTGCAGTACTATTGAGTTCAGTGGTGGCAGGAGATCCTGTTTCTATTAGAATGTGCATCTGTGCCTGCAGGCCTAGTCAGGATCAAAGCTGTTGTCATTTAGAAAAAAACTGCCTGTGGTGGCAGCACAGAGTAAGTTCCTTCCAAGAGAAAATAGGATTCTTGCTTTCCTTATTAAGATAGCCAGAAGCTCTTCCAACTGAGCACATCATTGGAATGCTTCTGTCAGCTCTGGGAACAAATGGGAGCTGGATGCTGCCACTGGGTAGATGTGTTTTTTCGATTAGGAGGCTTTCCTGCCCCAAGAGTGTGCTTGCAGTAAGATGCCCTTTGCAAGAGCACAGAGACAGAAGCAGTCTTTTATTCTGTTTTTGCACACATGCATATGAAATGATCCCCCTGTAAGCAGCTGTTGGCCACACAATTTACAGACCACGTTAAGTTTTTAAGTCCAACATGAAGAATTCAGAGAAGTCAAGGAAGACTGATACATACAATAATTAGTCCTAATTACACACACATGTGGTAAGGGTTTGCCTTAACACAGTAGCTTCCAGCATGTTTAACCAAATCCTGGAAGCAGTTCCAGTCCTGTCTAAATGCACAAGCCTAACCAGCAAGCATCAGCAATGTTGAGAACACTCACAGTGAATTAAATACACACAAGGCTTCTAAAATATGCTCAGCATTCAATCTTTCCAGCCTTTTATTTTTTGATAGCAGCAATACAATTTCTGCTCCAAGTATACTGAAATTTATGTTTTTCCTCATATGCACACAGAGCAGTTCCCATGAACTGCCCCAGCTCAGCCCTGAGCACAGTTCTGCAGACAGGCTGCTGCTACTACACCTGGCCTGTGCTCTTCACTTTCACTCACCCACCCCTGAGAACATCCCAAGCCTCACAATACCAAGAGGTTTAACAAGGGTGCCTCTCAGTCACCATGCCCAGTATCTACTGCAGTGCCCACATAACTTCAACATCCATAATACTGATAACAAAATACAAATTCCCATCGATGTGGATTACTTCCCTTTGGCACTGCAGCTAATGTATGTTTTGTTTTTTCTCAGGAAGTACAATTCAGGCACATACATACACAATTATCTCTGAGGAACTTAATACTACCCAATGAAATACTGTAAGTTTTGGTGTGGTTTTGTTCTATCTTACTTTATTTTTTCCAAAAATATAAATTCTAATACATTGCTGTCTATTAGTTCTGTGTTCCCTTTGAAACACTGTCCTGTTCTGTTGGATCCAGAATCATCTGTGCAGTTAACTGCACTTCCAGAAGCTATTCCTCCTGCAGAACGAGAACAGCAGCTCACCTTTCTGTGTCAGCCCAGACACAGTTACAGGACACAGTCAGGAGAAGAGCAGTTTTATAATGCAAGCTCTTTTCAGGCTTGCACAACTGTGCCTGTGCCTTTCAAAAAAACCAAAGAGCCAAGCCTTTACTACTTTTGTTTCCTTTACAATTGCACTGCTTATGTTCCCAACACATAACAGATTGTGCCACCATACTTTCTGTGGGCTAGGCACAGTGTATAAAAACTAAAACAAATGTTTAATGAACAGTAACCTATATAGTCCAGCAAAGTCTGTAAGAAATGACAGACTGGAGTTAAGCATCTTAAAAGTACAGTTTTGAAAAGTGAAATTCACATATCTCAGCAGGTGCTGCAGGGTTTCTGTTTGTCAGGAAAATGGTTCTGAAAAGTTTTGGAATATTTCAGATGGCTTGTGGGTCTATAAATATAACTACACCATTAGGAAAAAATTCCTACTCACAAGAATGATGTATCATGGTGATCAGCAAAGCAGAGCAGAGTGGGCTGTGCTCCTCCCTCATGGTTTCTTTATGGTATTCCTTTCACTTTGCTAAAGCTGCTGCTCAGAGGAAACAGGAGTAGCTTTGGTAAGCAGTTATCCCTGTGGCTGGCTGACATAATTTAGGACAGGCAGTACACTGATTTTCTATTTCCCTTAATGGGTCACACATACAAAACAGATACACCAGATCATCTAAAGCAGAATTAATTTCAACAATACAATTTCTGCCAACATGGAGTACAACTAAGAAAACCTCAGATGAGGACATGGTATTGCAGAGCAACCTACACCTAAGCTAAAGTGGCAGATATTATTTAGGCCTCTGACAGAATAAGGCCACATTTTTAATCATATAATGCATATTACGTATCTCCAAAAGATTTGCAAGATTTTTAGACTACAACTCTTCTTCTTTTGTTTCTCAGACTACCATCAGTTTGTCACTTCCGATTAACCTGAATATGTACATTTTCCAATTTTCAGTTACAGCTTTCCAGATTTTGGTCACTGTTTGGGATATCGCTGTCCAGAAATGCAGCATCTAAAGACGTCAGCAGAACGTCAGTGCACCCACCTTAATCCACTGACCCTTTCGGGTGAATACGAGCCACAGCCTCGCCAAGCCTGGGAGCAGCTGAGCTGTTTCCTCCTCCCTGTCAGGTGCACCAGCACACAGATGTGGCTTGACTTGGGATTTCTTTTTGAGCACTCTGAAGATTATTTCCCTTTTTACAGTGACAAGAGCAAAGCTTGAACCAGATGGTTTTAACTCACTTTAATGTCAGCGAAAGGCTGTGTCCTCATCTACTGCCATGCCAAGCAACAATCAGCAAGCACCTGCCTTTTAGCTCCATGGTATGCTGCAAAACACTGACACAGATGATGACAAGAATGTGTATATGTGTATATAAACCCTGTCAAGAATACCTGACTCTAAGAAACAGTTCCTCTCTGCCCCACCAAGTACGTATTTTGAAAAAAAATCCCAAAATGTTAAAAGCATGTTTCAGAACAGTTTGTTCCCTGAGCACAATAAAAATATCCCTCTGCTGTATGAAAAAAAAGTTTATTATAATTTAGGAATATGAGCAAAAGTAAAGTATTTTATAATAGCTTAAAATCCATGGCAATCTCCCCTGTCTTTGTGTCAAAGTGTATAGCATATGTGACAGCAGCAGGGGCTGCCAGAGTTTCTGACTCAATAACAGAACTGAAGAAATAGACAGCTTGCTTGCAGTGGCGATTCCAGTCACAGTTTCCCTGCAGGAGAGAGTTCAAAGTGCAAGCAGTCAAACCTCTACCATATTATTACCATACAGTAACAATGCAGTACGAGTTCCTGTTCCCAGCTGAGTCCACAAGGATCAGCATCATCATTTCCACTGCCATCCACCCCACTATAGGAATGCATCACTTGAAATACCATGTGCTACTCTGCACAGAGAAGCCAGAGGAAAAAATGCATTTTGGTCAAAGAATATTTAGATAGAATACCAAAAGTACTCCTTCCCCTCCAAATGTTTGCTTTTGTTAAATTGAGAAACGGTATTTGTAATAAACTCTGAGTTAGCATCATACTTAAACTCTGAATTGATTCCAAACTACGGAGCATTTTGATCCAATGCAGATTGTCCCATTTTAAGCATTTTAAGGTACATCTTCTGCTCCCTGCAAAAACACCAACAGATATTTCTGCTAGTCCTGTCTATGTAGTGTTCAAGCAGCGTAACAAAGAGCACTACACAACCCAGGCATGGCCAACAGGGACCCATTTTTCAGCACTGTAATCCTACAGACTTTGACATAATAATTTAGATTGAAGATGTACCTTTTCATTTGAAATTCGCATCAGTCCTGTACTTATGGAGATATCTGCAGCAAGATGATATTCCATCCACAAAACTGCTCCATGGCTCTTTCCTTTCCTGGGGAGAGGTGGAAGATAAAACCTGTTACTTCATACAGTACTGACAGCTCACAGTGACACTGCACTACTGTGTAAGTGAGAGCTGTAAAATCATGGAGAACTTCTTTCCTTGAAAAAAAGTTGAACAGCTGAGTGATTCGGTAATTAGGCAGCAGCTTGTAAAATATTTGCAGATATGAAATCTAAAAAAGGTAAGGAAAAGGAGAGTGTGTCATGCTTATATCTGCTCAAAAGCACAGTCATTTAACCAGCACTGAGGAACACGGCGTAGTTACACTGCATGTTCACACAGCACCCCCTTTAGAGACCCCTTTCTATTGTTCATGAATTTTGAGGAAATATTTACCACACATACCATGTCATTTGAAGAAGCAGAGGTCCTGCCAGTGTGCTGCCTACAAATACAACTGCTGCAAAGGCAGAGACCCCACACAGGTGGCTCTGGATTTTGTGAAACCTTGAATTTTGTTTCACAATGAGAAACATACAATCACAGCAGTGTCTGAGCTACACGAGATCTAGATAGCGAAGAAAGAACCCCCAAAAACCTTTCCCCTGATTTTTAATTCTTAAACAGCATTTTAAGCTTCAACAGAATTAGGGACAATTTATAGTTACATTATAGTGAAAAATACCTCAGAAGACATTACAAATATCAAAATTGCCAGAATTATAGTCAGAAGGAAGAATAGCATACATTTTAACAGCTATCAACACAATAATTTAAAGCTATTAAACACAGTAATTTATTAAACACAATAATCTGAAAAGCTAAATAGAAGCTTTTTCTGCAAGAACTCAGCAACAGGGAACAAACAAAGACTAAAAACATCCAGTTACTTTCTCTACACCACATATTAATCTATTTAAATTTTAAATCACAGTAACAGCTAGAAAAATGTTGTTTTTTAAATACAGGCATATTATCTAATCTAATAATATCTAATATTATTGTTATAGCCTATTGAGAACAGCCACAGGAAATTTGTGTTAGAATAACTTCCCCAACTTTGAGTCACATTATTAAAAACTGTCAAGTATGTTCCCACCATTAACTACAATAGACAAAGAACCTAAACACGAGGTAAAAAAATGGATGCTGATAAGAATATTTCTTGCAAAAAGAATATTTCTTCACTGACCGCAAAAGATTTACAGAGCCCTCAGTGCTGAGACAGTGCTGGGGCACAGTCGTTCTGAAGTCAAATGTCAAAACTTCCTGTGGGTCAGACAGTGACCTGCAAGGATATTCCCACAGAGGGTGAGGTTCTGCTTCCTTGGATTCCCTAAAATTCAGAGAATCCTGAAGAAAGAAAGGAATAAAATTATCAAAAAACAATCAAAAGGCAAATAGTCCATGTTTTCAAGTTACTTACATGTCCTTAACCCAGAGTAATTAAGCAATAAAGCTGGAAGAGGACAGGACTGCCCTTCTTAAATACAAAGGAAAAAGTGTCCTATGTGCATTAAACCACGTGACATGACAATGGCCCTCAGCAATGAAAGAAAACCAGGCACTTTCAAAATAAAATGCACTTTCTGCTCCCTCCAGACAAATTCTACTCTACAACTGCCTGTACTCCTCCACAGTGACTGCAAAGGTAATCTAAATGGCTAACTCAAATATGGATATTGACAGTCCAGCTCTAGAAATCGATACAAATAAATCTCACCCTTCCTATCTACTTCTCAGTAGTCCATAAGCCTCTTCCAAAAGCACCTCCAAGTAAGGCAGGATTCATCGATAAACAGCTCCCAAACCATCTCATGTCAAGCTCAGAATCACATTTTGAGAATAGTTTTTTTCTTTTTGAATGAACAGAATTATTTTCAAAACACGGCAAAGCACTGAAGAACTTCACAAGTAAGAAGTAACCAACAACCCCAAACCCACACCACGAAAGTTCCATTTTACAAGAACTAAGCAGTCACCATAGTTCTGAAAGACTAAAACAGTGGTGTTCTGCTTAACATACAGGCTTTCCAACAGTCACTAATTGCTTTATTAAGCCAAGTTGAGCTTTTGTTTTGCTGAGCCTTGTGCTGAAACTATTGTCAGGCTTCTTACTTTAATCATATCATCCATAGTCTGGACATCAAAACCTTCACAGATGCCACATGGACTCCGGATTCTCCATAAGTCCTGTAAACAAAAACAGGATTTTGTTTGGCTTTATTAAAGGAAACTGGCCTTTGCATATTAATGATGAAAGAACTTATTTAATTTCCATTATCATTGTAGGTAAACACTTCACAATCTTTAGTTAAGAAGTCCTCAATAGCTGAAAGAAAAGGTTTATAGCTTTGTAAAATTTCTGAAAGATGACTTTTCAAATTATTTTTAAGATGTGCTCAAATTCAGAACTGTGCACAGAGGTTAAGAAAAAAGGAACATGCAATTAGGAATCCTGCCTTCAGTCTTATCAACCACCATTTCAAAAACGGTTATGTTGCAGAATATCTAATTTTATAAATAACCACAACTGTCACATGCTTCAGTAATCTCTAATCAAAAGAAATATTTTAAAACATTCAGCCCTTCCATTTTAAATGGCAGAATTACTTGAATTAATTTGCTGGACAAGAGATAGCTGAAATAGTAAAACTCACCCTCAAGATATCAAATATTCTTTTCTGAGGTGATAAGTACAAAACATACTGGACAGTATTAAAATGCAATACACTTGTCATGAAAAAATCCTAGAAGAGTACTTATTTCAGTAGATTTGTGTAAATATCAAATGGATACTTCTAAAGAAGCTCACCTGGAACTCCACAATCATCATGTGCAAAGAAGCAGACTGAGGTAGGACAGTGACATTGCTGGTGAGGTGACTGCTCACAGCTGTCCTGGCATACCAGAAATACAAGTTATGCCATGGCAACAAACTTGTACTGAAAAACGGCTCTCCCACAAGAACGGAAATCTTGGCAAAGAAAGGAGGAGATAAAAAGCGTTACAAGAACAACTCAGTAACACAGGCTGTTTGAATTTTCCAACAGCTACCAATACAACAGAACAAGTGACATCATCTACATCAGAACTTCTATTGCTCCATAAAGATTTAATTACTGGATCCTGCACGTACAGCACACCAGACATACTTCTGTGGGTTTAGTCAGCACACTTTAAAATTAATTTTCCTGCAGTAAAGTTTGAGAGAAAAGACTGCATTTTTAGGTTGGAAGGCTTTGTAACGAGTCACAGTATTTTAAAATTTTTAATTTAATGACATTAGTACTTTCAAAGAGATTGCCATCTTCCTGAGGGGCTGGCCAAAGAAGAACTGCAGCCTTGTAGTACACACACAGTTAAACCAGTTAAACTGCCTCAGCAACTGGTGCAGATTACGCAGCAAGGGAAAGTCACATCCTTTCAAAAACAAAGCAACAATCCTCCCACAGTCTTTAGGTCTCCTTTAGTTTTAGTGGCACATCATCTGAACCATCTACTCACTGCATTTTGCAGAAGCAGGATGTCATGGGACTCAATGTGGTTACAGCAGCACAGCAGAAAAGCAAAAACAATTTTTACCTTCTGGTCACTACCACCTTCCTGAAATTCAGTATATTGGACAACTGTAACATACCTTTTTATCTTCGAAATGAGAAGGCTTCAGCAACTCAGGACGTGCTTCTATTATTTTAATTTTATCTTCAAGATGATTTGCTTTAAAAAACTAAAACCAAAAAGTAGCATGCTGTCTTTAGCAAAAGTCACACGTGAGACTCAAACACATACCAAAATAATGATTTTATTGAAAACAAATTATAAAAAAAAAAAAGCCAAAAATTTTTTTCTAAAAAACTGCCTACCATATCTTATCAGGTTGATGAGATATGCTGTGCATCCTACTCTTGAAGGATGCACACACTTAGAGCCAACATGTCACACCTACTGAACTAAAGCACATGCCCTTCATATTCTTTCATACAAGTATATAAAAAGGCAGATAACACAGAAGTTGCCTCACTTTCTTTCATTTGTACTTTGAAAGATATAGGAACGACAGTCAAGAAAGATAAGAATCACTTCAACTATGAAACACTGCATATTTGGCTTCTGTTTGCCTACTGTTCCTGTTCTGGCTGAGCCAGACCTCTTTCAAACACCCAGTGTCAGCTAAAAGAGCCTCAGCCAAAGATGACCTCAGGAAGCTGTTTCCATTCCCTTCTTAGGCACCAGCTGCCTCTCCTGAACAGCCTCCACTTCACTGGCAGAGTCTTTCGTGCTCTTCCCCAAGGCAGCAGCTGAAACACCGTTTGCAGTGGAGCCACTGCCTGCTGTCTCCTAAGAGCAAACAGCATCCTCCAACACATTCATTAAACTGATTTAACTTCTAAAAAATTGATGCAAGAACAACAAACAAAGGCATCAACTCTGGCTTAGTAACACCATGGGTCATTTACTGCTTTAACAGAAAATGGAATACTCACTTTTTCCATGACAGAACAGGACACACCAGAGTTTTCTATTGTAAACACCTAATGAAAACACACAACAATTAGTCAAACTAGTTTTATAGTTTTTAATTCAAAGAAGATGTTAACTAAACAATGAAGGAATACTTTGATGCCCCAGTGAGCACAGTTCATAAGAACCATGCATCTATTCCACACCCCACTGTCACAGACCTTTTTAAGAACTAAACACCTCAAACAACTACAGGCTAAATAATTCTGTTTTCACAGCCATACAAGGAAAAAACACCAACAGAATGCAAGTATTTTATTTTCCTTTTTTGAGATGTACAGAGCATATTAAAATTTGCTCTAGGCACACATTTATTCCTGAACAAATGCAAGCATTGTGCCAGATCAAGCTCCAGCAGTGCTCAGTCCTTGTGAGCACTGTTTAACATGTTTAACATCAGTGCAAAGTGCTCAGAAGCCTTTTGCAGGAAGAAAAAAAATTAAGTTTTGTTTTTAATTGGTGAATAGCTAGGCAGTATGCTACATTCCTCAGATTATGTTACATTACATGTTCCCAGATATTCAGTCCAACTATAACAGATTTTAGGTTGAAGAGCCCCATGACAGAACACACCGAGTAAGGTACCTGCATGTAAGTGAGACTGCCAGGCAGCTCTCAGCTCTCATTTACACACAGTCTCAGGATAATAATGAGCTGGAAATGAACTATACAAGAGAAAAATACCAAGCTAAAATGTAACAATCTGAAAAACAGGATGAAGTATTGTACCTGCTTTGCTCCAAGATAGTGAGCCAGCACAGGCAGCAGACTGCCATCACTGATACAAAGGCAAACACTATCTGTGTCCAGAACCTACAGAAAATAAATAATCATTGTTATTTCTGTTCCAGATGAAAAAGTTTTCCCCACTTTATACACTTCCATATAAAAGAAGGGTAAAAAATGCTCATGTAGTCCCCTTGGCTTAGGTTTGAGAAAGTTTGCACAAAAATGATTTGGGTGTCTTTATTCAACTACCAATACTACTTTTAACAAATACACAGAGCTGCTACAAGTTCCTATACAAAAACAGTTGCTTACAATTTAAAACTGTAAAACTAAAGTTTTCATGACAAAAGCATAACTTAGATCTGCTGATGGAAAAAAAAATTCTTGGTGAGCAAAGTCCTTTGCAGAGGAGAAAAAATTCCATAAATAATTTCTGTAAATAAAACAATACGTGCATCCATCACAGAAGCCAAAAAAGCCTCCAAGCAACATGCACTCACTGTCCTCAGTGCCTGGATGTACTGCTGGGTCCGGTCCTGGTCGTTTAACTCCCCAAAGCGTGCTCTGTTCCACAGCAGGTGAGCATGGCACCTACACACTGGGCTCTCAACACCCACAGCCACTTCATTCTCCTCTTCACTGCAAAAAAATGGCAGTGAACTGTTAACTACAGCACCAGTGACACGCCAACAGCTACAGGTATGCATGCTGGCCAGAGTGCACATCAACTACAGCACCAGTGACATGCCAACAGCTACAGGTATGCATGCTGGCCAGAGTGCACATCAACTACAGCACCAGTGACAAGCCAACAGCTACAGGTATGCATGCTGGCCAGAGTGCACATCAGTGCATTACGGACTCTGCTGTTACCTTCTCAAAGTTACAAGTTCTTCAATGACATTTTTGTAACTTTGCATTTCCAAACAAAGAGAGGCCAAAAAGAACCAATTTTAACCTTCACAACCGAGAAACCCACCCACTTTCCCACTAAGTGTGATGGTTAGGTTTTTAGGCTTTGTTCTTTTAGAAAAAAGTTACTCGTTTGGATTCCTGAGTAAAAAAGGCATAGGAAATTCAGACATTTTATAGCTAGCACTGATTTTTAAAAATGTTAGCTGCTACTGTCATCACAACCAATGTGATTAAGCTCCTTCTAATCTGAGAAAAAGGCAGCAATCTCAAAAAGACAGTGCTGACTAAGAAAACAGAAAATGGAAACAGAATTATTATTTCACTTCTTCACCTACATGCCAGCTCAGCTGAGTTGTATTTTAGGATTTCCAGGAATCAACCATGAGTGGTTTTTGTTCCTCTGTCACAGCATGCCACAAGGTACAAGGCAGGACCTTGCCGTCCAAATGTGTTTTTACACATAATGTGTGTTTTGCAGCTGTACATTGCCCATGAAGCAGCTTTACATAATTTTCTAGTCTTTAGGTTCTTATCTTGCTCTTCTACAAAAATAGATGCTCTAAGAGCAGCAGATACTCGAGCCTGGAGTAAATTAGCAGCCTTTCCCCCCCTGGAGTTGTTACCTGGCTTTCTGCAGCGTGTACCACACAGAGTACTCATCCCGACAGGCAGTCAGGTGCACCTTCTCACCCTGCACAACCGGCTCCTCCTCGGGCAGGAAATACACACACTGCATCCAGTGATCTCTCCACTGAAAAGGGTTCACACACAACCTCTCAGCAACAATGCATAAATTGTGAATGGAAAGTAAACAAATAGCAGGAAACAATTGGGAAGAATGGGCACAAATCTGAAGGACTGATGCATGATTGACTGAACGAATCCTGGTCACATTAGCAAGGCTGAATAAAGACCAATAACATGTATTGAATAAATGTACTCTATACAGATTTCTCACAACAGAATAAGCCTGAGGCCACTGGCTTGCTCACTAGCTAAGCTTCTATTTCAATCACATGAAAAACAAACCCAAAATTGCTTTGCATTTATTGATGCTGTTTCACCTCTGTAGTTCACTTATCTTAGAAACCTGTATCAAACTACTGACAGGGACCTGTGGCTGGAGCCTCGTGCACCAAGTGAGGTCACTCACTGACAGGGCAACTATTTTGTGTTTCAAAAAGCCATTTTTTGCACTGCAAATATTCCATGCTGATTAGCCATTCTAAGCTGACTGAAGGCCCTGAAGTTTCAAATTTTATTCTCAAACATGGTAACTACCAACAATCATTTTGTAACTTCCTTTTGACCGTGTTCGTCCTACTAGTAAATACATTCATGCAAAACCACAGGAATCTGATGTAACAGTGCTCACCTGTTTCTCTAATGATCTAGCATGAATCCAGTATTTTCCTACACCAGTCTTTTTTGTTCTATGAGAGTATAAATATATTACCATAAACTAAACATTTTGGAAATTTAATAGAAGAACTACATGGAAGCAAACCACAGACTAATATTTTGACCAGGGATAGAGACCAGTTAAAGAAAAAAATACATGGAAATTTTTGTATTATTTCTTGAAAGTAAAAGAAACAACTGTATCTGGAAGACGGTTTCAGAATTTAAGCTTTACATAAAGGATTACTCTTAAAGTTTAACATTAAAGAAAACCTACAATGGGTACATAATACAGTTAACATGTCTACAGTTTACATATTTAGCATCTTCAAATACATTAAACATAGCAAAGTTCCTAAACAATTTAAGGGACAGCTGCTTAAAACACCCAGTAAGGCCTTAACTCAAGATAGTTGCTCACAGCCATGTGACAATGGTGTCTGAAGGCTCAGTATTTTACCTGCAAAGCAGAAGTGGGGTTTACCCAGTAGGGAGCCATTGTGCAGTTTATCATCCCAGAGGGGTCCATGTCAATGTCCCACCAGGAAAGAACAATTTGTGCCTTCCCAGATTTAACAGACTCCAGCTGCACTCTATAGCAGGTTGAAGCACTCTGTACTGGCTTACTGAAATCCACACTGCAGAGAGGCATAAAAATTGTAAAAACAGTACATCAGTCTGCAGAAATTCTCACCAGCTTCCTAAGCTGAACACACAATTTCTGTGAAAGGCATAACAGGACAAAACAATGTCTACCTTACCTGAACATTGTCACCACATCACTAAGGGCAGTGAAGTCGCTTGAGGGCATCTGGTTCAGTTGGATATCACAAACAGAAGGAACACCTGGACAGTTCTCCATTTCTGAAGGGGGAACAATAATTTTTTCACCATCCTCTGCTTCGACATGAACGGGAAACAGTTTGTTCCAGGCCCACATTCTTTTGGATTCCACTAACTGGACATACACTGTTGCCCTGTGAGGCACTGCCTCACATCCTTCCTGAGTGGTCAAAACAAAGGGTAAATACATTCAACAGGTTTGACTTATTAACATGAATGAGAATTAAAGCAACTGAACCCATATAAAGAAAAGTTGGACTGGGAGCTTTGAAATCTTAAAACACAAGTTATTTTGGAGACTTTTGTAACATCAGAGCATCTGTCTCTCTGAAATACAATCAATGTATCTATCCTGTTCCACCTGGTTCAGCAAGGCCAGATACTTTATTAACCACACAATATTATCAGTTTAACAGCCTCATTTAGATTTGCATTTCCATTCTCATTCTGAAATAAGAGATCTATCTTGAGCTTTTCAAGGCAGAAAACTAGTAGGCTATCAACAATAAAAGAGAGTTGGTGATTGCAATGAGAAAATAAGAAAAACAATGGCTCAAATATTTATGCAATGACAACTTTGTATCCACGTTTAAAGAGTAGAAAAGGTACAAGTTGTCCTAACAATCCCCCTGAAGTCCAAGAACAATGTTTTTACAAAAAGGGACTAACAGTAATGTAGTTACATATGGAGAGCAGTACAAAGTTATGGAGTGCTATTGTCTTTATACGCTAACTGGTGAAAGTAAAATTAGAAACCTAAATAAAGTTTTGCCATCCACATTTTATTAAAGGATAATATTAGAAAGTCAAAAGAGGAAGCCCTAAAATTATACCTATAGATTATATGTCCAAGAAGGATACTAGATTAGAGTGTTTAAAATATTTCCACAGGCAAAAAGCATGTGAGAGCATAACAGGAAAAAACAAACCTACCAAAAACAAAGCAATGCCTGGGAGGTGAAGCCCATCAAATTTATAAGAATTTAATTTTTTTAAAACACCTTGGAACAAGGATGTTATTAAGGAGAGCTTCAAATCATAACCGAAAGACATTTGTTCACCAGCAAGTGTTGGTTTCAACACAAAGCAGCTAGGTGTAGTTTCAAAGCCTGTGATTTACAAATGAACTCAGGTAGCTTTATTCCAGGAATGAGCCCAGTAAATTATTCATTGAATAAGAGACACACAGCTGATGGTGTACTTACCAAGGGATGCAGAAGCCGAAGTATAATCTCTCTCTTAGTCCCAAAAAAGACAGAAGGATTTCTCTAGGGATAGGTGTGACACACTATCTTTTCTACTTTCTTACCTGTACAAGGTATTTGTGTGCGTGCTCATATGTTGGTAAAGCTCCTTCTCCTATCAGCTCTGTATCAAATAATTCTGTGACCAGGATGTTTGCACGACATTCCATATCTCCATCTAAAAGATACAAATATTGTAATATTAAGCCTTTATGTAAGGCTTTCGCGAAAATGCTATCCTAAGAACACAAGTAATTAAAAAACTTATTCCTGTTAGAGAATCTGCTAAAGACTGCAAATAATTTTCCTTTAAAAGTCTACTATGAAATACAAATGGCTACTGAAATATCACTAGAACACTTCCTTTTGAAGTAAATTTCCAATATTACTTTCTAGAGTAATAGAATAGCTGAGGTTGGAAAAGACCATCAAGTCCAACCATCAACCCAGCACCGCCACCATGTTCGCAATTAAACCATGTCTTCAATGCCACCTCCACATGTTATCTGAACACTTCCAGGGATGGTGACTCCATCCCTTCTCTGCACAGTCTGTTCAATGCTTTACAACCCTTTCCATAAAATATTTTTTCCTAATATGCAATCTAAACATCCCCTGGTACAGCGTGAGGTCATCTCCTCTTGTCCTGCCACCTGTTATCTGGGAGAAGAGGTCAACCCCCCGATTACAACCTCCTTTCACACAGTTGCAGAGAGTGATAAGGTCCCCCCTCTGCCTCCTTTTCTCCAGCCTGGATCCCTCAACCCTGGATCCCTCAGCCACTCCTCAAAAGACTTGTGCTCCAGACCCTCCGTGAGGATTAGCTGGTTTTCATTACAGACATATGGAGAATAAGACATATTCCTTCATTAAGCCTAGGCTATTTTTCTCACCTGGGCCAACTGTGACTTCAGTGGAGTGCTTGTTGATTACCTTAATCTTGTCAGAAAAACCATTTTTCTCCACTATCTTCACAGCAGCATTAGCCATGGGCCTGAAAACCTGTGAATGGCAAGAGTGTAGCAAAATGGTAGCTCACATTAGCTTTCAAAAGTGAAAGGACACCAGCACAAAATGCAATACATTTAGTTCTGAAACAACTGAACAACTTCTGTATCTTCTCCTATGTCTGAAGGCCATTACCATGAAACAAGACAGTGAGCCTTGCTTGAAAAATTCATAGAGCTCCAATGTCACTGTTACAAACTGAGTATCAGCTGTCTCCAAAAGCTGCTCCAATTGAACTTTTGAAAGACAAGAACACACATTAAAAGTATTTTAGCATTCACATTAAGCAAACTTATTTCTTTGGAAAAATACATATATGCATCAAGAGAAGCCACAAGAGACTTGCATGTGCCCAAGATAATATCTAAATAAAAAAAAGAACTCAAAAACAATCAGCACTGAAACAGTCACTGAAGTATGCCAAAAATCTGCTTTTACTAACAGCATAAATGTGAAAAGAATTTTTGTTTCCTTCACAGCAAAAATAACAAAATGACCAAGAATATGCTGAAAGGGTTTAATGTTCATATCCAGTTTTTAAACTCAAAAATTTTCAATGTTCCATCCAGTTACACAATTTGGCTACTTAAGATAAGACACTTGTGGTCACTTTGGAAACCAGCACAAAGCTCTCTGATGGCTTCCTGAGTCTATATGAAAGAGGACTGTCCCTGAAAAACGAACATCAGCTAAGATTCTAGAATAAAAAACCAACATAGATGTCTACTTGGGTAGAAATCCCCCAGTACTCTTTCAACCAGACCCTACAGACAAGTGGATCTTCTCTTTGTTTCTTTAAATGCATCAAAAACCCCCTAAACTGGCCAAAATGTTCCTGGTATTATCCTTAATATGAGTAATGGCTGTTAATGACAATCAGGATGTTTCTTAAGTGCCAATAAAAAAGGAGATGCTCTATCTCATCCCAGAGAGATGGAAAAATCAGTTCAAGTTTATTACAATCTGGCTGAGGTTATGATTAAGTGGTCTGAGAACCCATCTCCAAGAGTTAAAACTTCTCAAGATCAGCAATATGGTTAGAAAATACTGAAGTTTTTCAAAAGCATGGTTAAAGCTCTATATTACACCTGATTTTTGATTAAAAGTAGAGACAATGAAATACTAGAAAACTTGACTTTGAAATTTCAACCTGTACATTTACAGAAACTGTCCTAAAAATTAAAAATATACCATACCTTTTCAACTATGTTCTTGTAAGACCTAGGTGGTTTTGACACATAAAAGGCTTGAGTTTGCTCTTCAGCCACCACAGAAAATAACAAATGCATCCACCCCACTGATTGTGCAGACAGAACTGCACTGAAGCTTGAAAATGCAGCTATGAACACACATGCAGCATATGTGCAACCCCTAACAAATGCTCACCTCAATTGCATAGCAGAAATCCGCCCCAGCTGAAGCTGCCATCATGGACAGGAGTCCTGTGCCAGTGCCTATGTCCAGAACTATTGCTTTCTCACCTCTTTCCTTCACCCTGCTCACTGCAGCACGAATACCTTGGTAGTACTTCACATTCTGCGGAGAAGAAAAACCTTTTATCCATTTACACTTTCCATTTCTGTGCAGAAGTCTTGAATTCTCCAACCACAACTTTACAAGCAGAGAAACGCCTACAGACATTCTTTATCCCTTACAGTCACACCAAAGCCATCTCCAGCAAAAGCAAGTGTATCTGGTGGGATCGGCCCATTTAAAGTACATCTAATTTATCTTCACATTGTCACTGGTCAATCAGCTATTCATACCACATGCATACTTTCCAAATGTGATACATTTTCTGGAGCAAATAATAATAAAATTTTCCCCTGCAACACCATTCAAATAGTCATAAACTGACTCTGACATTACAGGAGCTAAAGTATTTTGGATTTAGGTTCCTCTCTTCATCTGCTGAAAAATGTTCATCCATGAGAAGCAACATGTGTAAATAGTGGGTTTTGGTTACATGCCATTAAATGGGGCTACAAGCACAGCGGCACCAAAACAGGAAAAAACCAAATGGTGTCCCCTGTCAGCTGCAGGATACACACTGAAATATATGCCTATATTCCCTTTATAATAGGCTATTGTTAAAACATTCCTTTCCAAATGATTTATCAAGCCTTTCCAAAGATTACACTACCTTTGAACATAATACATTTGGAAAGTCTGCTGGATCCCTTTCTGAACAATTCTAGTTAACACTCTCCATATACAGAATTCCACTAGAGTTGGTTTAATTACTCAGACACAATTTGCTGTCTCTACACAGCTTATTAAATGCTTGATCCCACTGATGTATCTTAATTCAATATAAATTCAAGACTCATTGTGGAGGTACCATAAAAGTCTTTCAAAAGGTCATTGATGGAATGATTGACTAAACAGCTAGAGCAGAACATTTAAATTATTCCCTCCAGACTTCAACATGCCTGCAAACATAGTAAAAACACCATAGAAGAATAAAGAGGATTTTTACAGGAGTGTAAGTAAAGTCTAAGAAGCCAAGCTTCACTTTAACAGCCCTGGAAATTTCACCTAATGAGCTCTGTCATAAATGTCAAACACACAACAGCAAAATCAGCTACTGAGTGTAAACATGTTCTTCAGTAAACAACAGAGCACAAAAGTCAGATGTAGGAAGGCATCTGTTGATCCAAGAGCAGGTCTGGTATCTTAAAGGGTACAAAAATGTGACCATTTAATCTTTCAGAGAAACCTATATAATCATGCAGTGGCAGCTGTTCAAGAAAAAGGAAATGGTCATTTTCTTCCTATTCAAAAGCTTTTGGCCTCCGTACTTACTCTGTCTTTATCGTGAAGCATATCTGCATAGCGTGACCTACAAAAACAAAATTCCAGTCAAAATATTCCATACTGCAAAGCACAACAAACTGCAGGATCTCAGAGAGCCTCCCTTGTTTTCTCTTACTAAGGCAACTGGTCCCCATGGCCCATAAATGCACAAACAACTGACATGCTATTTACCAAATCTAAGGAATAACATCATTTCAATTATGTGGCCATCAACATATAAATGAATTAATTAATTGCTGGCACATATCCTCCCCTCAGCAATGGACCAATTCAGAGATTTAAATTTCTTTGTTCCCCATAATCTAATCTTTCCATCTACTCTGGCTGTTACATTAAGCTCTTAAAAAGTTAGTACAGGAACAGATAATTGGCAATTATTTATTGCATTGGGATTTAAAAGAAATTTAGTCAATGCATTTTGCCACAACTCAGTCATTGTCAGTATTAGGATCAGCACCTCAGAAAACATTTTAAAAAGTTTAAAAGGAATCTACTTGGAGAATAGTTTACAAAATTCTACACTGGTAGTTCTGCCTTGTACATCACCAGGCACGTTCACTAACATTTAGGCTATCTACAGACTGTTCAACTCATGCTCTTAGAACTTCTACAAACATAAACCCCAAAACTGACATAAAAACAAGCTGGGTCTGCTCTTTTGTGGTGGCTTTAGGGGAACAAGCACCTTTTTGCATCATACCTGGCAATCTCCTGGTGGTAGTCATAGTCCTCAGCCTCCTCTAACCACTCCATGGCGCCAGTGGTTGGATTAGCTCTTCCACAAAAGGTCTTCATGACCAGTCTCAACTTGTACTGTATTATTGATGTATTATGTGCAGTTTTGCTGCTTTCACTCAGTAATACACCAGACACTGGCTGTGAAAAAAACACAAACCAAACACAAAACTTCCAGTGAAAACAACTGGAACTTTGGCCATCACTTGAGCTCTGGTGCCTGCTACACACGCCTTGGACAGAAGCCAAGCGACCGCTTCACGCTTTTTCTACAACGGTGTTTTAAGCTAAAACGCGTCACCCAGTCCCGCTCAGGACCTCAGCCCCAAAACAAAATCACCTCACGGTAAATCCTCGGGGAAAACCCCTCCCGCCCCGTCCCGGGGGTCCCCTCACACCCCGTGCCCGAGGAGGGCCGTGCGGAGCCCGGGCCGAGAGCCCGCACACCCCCGGGGCAGCCCCTCCTGAGGCGGGAAGGTCCGGGCCTGTCCCGGGGGTGGCGAGGGCGCTGTGCGCCATTCCCCGCCACAGCCCGCGGGCCGGGCCCCCTCACGGCTCCCGCGGGCCGGGCCCCCTCACGGCTCCCGCGGGCCGGGCCCCCTCACGGCTCCCGCCGGCACGCCCGACACACACCCACCTCCCCGCGCGGGCCGCCACGGCCCAGCACCGCCCGGCGCCCGCCCCTTCCCGCCGGGAGCCCGCCCCTTCCCCTGCCCTGTCCCCGGCGGGCCATGGCCTCCGCGGCCGTGCTGCGGGTGCAGCGGAAGCGCGGCGGCCCCGAGCCGGCCGAGGCGCTGCTCCTCGCCTGCAAGCGGCGCCGCGAGGAGCCGGTGGAGAGGAGCCTCTTCAAGCTGGTGGCGACCGTGTCCTCCAAGGTACCGCGGCCGCGGGGGCGCTTTGGCCCGGCCGGGGCTCTCCCTGGGTCTGCCGCTGCTCCCCGCGGCTCTTTCGGGAGGAGCAGCGTGTCCTGGGCCGTGCCCGAGGCCGGCGCTGCTCCTGCTGGGCAGGACCAGAGCGGCGGGCACTGCACAGTGACCGCCGTGAAAAGCTGTTCAGCGCTCGCTTTTCAGTACTGACAGACTGTTCCTCACAGAACAGTCAGTAAGTGAAGCCTGAATGTCTGCTGTTTGAGGTGCTGAAGCTCAGCCCTACAAGGATAACAACTACCGTCCACTATCTGGCCTTATATACCGAATAAAACTGGGATGTCTTGGGAAATGACCTTTGTAGGACACTATAAAGGATATTTTGCCCTAAATTCAGGTCCATCGCAGTCTTCCAAAGGCATTTGTTTTTGTTTGGACGGTTATTCCATACCACAAAGTTGTTTAAAAATCAAATTGAAAGAGTCTTAGAACTTTCCTTCTATATCTTCTGCTCTTTTCCTCTGATATCAAGTGAATATTGATTATTGTGTTACTTAAAGCAATAGTAGAAGTTAATTGAATGTTAGGAAGATCAGTGCTGCAGTTCTTATTGCACTCGTACTAGTCGTCATTAATCCCTTCTAGGAAGGAGTAGGACTTACTATGTTGATAGTGTCGTTACATTTCTCCTCCTTTTTGTTCCTCTGCTCAGAATGAACCGGTTCAGAAATACGTTAGGGACGCCATCACACGAGACAAAGCAGCTCAGAGTCTGCGGCCGTCTCTGGGAAGCACTCAGCGAATCATTGAGGAGCTCCGTTCTTCCAAGCAAGTGAAAAGGAAGGAAAACCGCTACCGTGTAATAGCCAGCCATCGACCTGGCTGTACTGAAACAGCTGCACCTGCTGCACGTGCTGAGGCTCCCACTGATGGGGACAGGTCAGACTCTGGAGCAAAGGAAGATGCTTCACAAGAGGAGGGTGGTGCTCTTGATAAGAGTTCGGACTGCTGTGCGAAATTCCAGTTGTTTGATATTGTCCAAGAGGAGATGGTGGGAGACTCCAGCATAACCTCTGCAAACTCACAGGTCAGCAAATCAACTTAGTGTTCTTGAAGTACTTTGGTATCACTGTCAAGTGGTACGTGTGGGCAGAGTGCTGTGGGAGTTTGTTTGCACTGTAAGTATTCACTATTTAATAGGAGCCTTAACTAGATATTTGCAAATTGGAATATTGTACAGAGACTAACTTCCATGAGGATCCTGAAGTGCACTAATGTTGTTTGGACGGAGCGTGGAGTTGCTGCTACAGGCAGGGCTTTACCACCCTGCTTTTTCTGTGCCCTGTTCATTTCAGTAGTTTCTAATGAACTGGTCACAGTTGTTTTCTCTTATTACCTGAAACATGTGCTACTGAAACATGCACAGTCCCACAGTAATTGGGAAATTCCTCAGTGTCTTTCTGTTCGAGGTTGCTCGTGGTGTAAAAGCATTCCAGTAGGAAAGTGTTTTGGTCTCAGATGGCAGGATGTCATGCTTAGTTAGCTGCAAAGAAAACTGGTGGCTGTAACCAAGACTTTGTCTGCATGACTTGAGTGGAAATAAGCATTTTTTATTTTTTCTCAGCAGAAGATTGATCCAGATGTGATTCTCTGCAATGCAGTAGAGATGATCCGTGAGCGTTTAAATGTTTCTGAAGATGCTAAAAAACACCATGACAAGGAAGATGAGTATGTTTATGACATCTACTATAAGGAAACATCAGCCCCTGGTTGGATCGAAAATATCCTTTCTGTACAGCCCTACAGAGAAGAATATGAATGGGTAAGGGTGTGGAAAAAACAAACTTTCTTAAATAGAAAGGTCACAAATAAATGCTTTAAAGCCTGTCATTAAAAATTGCCATGCCAAGAAAGGTCCTTTGAGGTAGATACTACACATATGCTCAGTGACTTCTGCCTTAGGCCTTTGATAACTGCTAGTCCTGTGTTCTTGCAGGCTACTGTTCATTCAAGGAAGTCATGATATGACTGAAGACTGAAGGGATGGTGCTGATGTACTCAGAAAAATCTATCTGGTTTCAAACTGCCAATTACATTTTGGCACACAAATGTAAACTTGAGTAATTCATGTCTCATTTGTGATTAGGAGGCAGTAATTAAAATATTGTTAATATGTCTGAGTGAGAAGAGGAGCAAGGGGGGCACACAACTTTATCAGTATTTGAGGACTTGGCTTTAACCTTCAAATGAGATACTTTTCATGGTAGAATTGTCCTTCAGTGACTGTGGAGTTAGGATGTAAGCTTCAGTCTTTTGTTCTATAGATACTGTGATCAATAGATTTACATATTGGAAACATGAAGCTACTTTTTCTTGATCTATAACACTACTGCTGAAGTAAGTAGGATTAAGTTAGACATTAACATTTAAATGCTGAAGTGGAACATGTAAATGTGTAACTCCACTGATTTTTCACCTAAAGCATATTTGAAGTGTTATGGTGAACATACTGACAAGTCCAATTTTTCTGCAGTGTGCTTTGTGTAACTGCAGATTTCCTTATGTCATCAATGAGTGTCTCTTGGCTCTTTCTGGTCTGTATGGTATTGCATAGGTGAATGAAAACCCACTTAACATTCACTACAAATACAGACACTCGGCATTCTGTTTTGTGTTGCCATGCAGGTAAATGATGATCCTGTCCCAGAGGAAGTATATGAAGATGAAGATGATGAAAATGATGAAAATAACTGGCGTAATGATTATCCTGAAGAAGATGAATTCTTACCTGAGGAAGATGGAGAAAAAGGTACACCTGTAATAAATGCTTTTTCCTTTCCTGCTGTGCACATATAAATCCCATTCTTTTTACATGCTCAAAAAGCAACTTAAATGAGCAGTGCTAGGATAGTGTTCTGCTCTTACAATGAGTAAAATCTGCTTAGAGGAAGATTATCTTTCTTGGAGCTTGAAGACTGTTTTTGCAAAGTCAAAATTAAGAAGTCATTTTCAGATTGCTGCAATTGGAAAGGATTGTTTGCTTTGAGAAGGAATCTATGACTTGGGTCCACATATTTGTGAAATGCTGCCTTCTTAAGTCCCCATCCCAGAGTATTCCAAGCACAATTCAAACCTCACCTAATACAGAAGTTGTTCAGACTTTGTTAGTTCCACAAGAAGCTTAAAATAGTCTGATTAACTTATTTAACTAAAAAGAAGGGATAATCTATTAGTGTTGATGCTCTTTTTGTAGAGCCTGAAGAGAGCTCCAGTGACGAGGACCAATATTACAGGAGAAGAACGTGGGACAAATACCGACAGGAGGTTCTACAGGAATTTGGATACGACGAGATGGAAGATCTGGGTTCTGACTAACAGTTCTTTTTTGAAGATGACAGGTGTACTGAAGATGAAATTCTACTGCTGTAGGAGAATGTACCACCTGAACAGCCAACTTCAGCTGGTAGATATTGAACAGAGGGGTGTGAGTTGACAACACCGATTTTTGTTCGAAGCCAAAGTGTTGTAGTCTTTCTGCCCACTGTGTGTACTGAGGTTCTGAAGGAACTTTTTTTCCCCCAAAGCTCCCCGCCCAAGTATTTGTACCTGTAGTGACCACACCTCCACGTTCTACACAGAGGAACTGCTGGCAGCAGCCCTTCTGGTCATGCCTAATGTGTCAGCTTTCACAAGAAGATCAATGTGTCTGCCCTGCTGGCAAGTGGAAGTCTTTGAGAAAGGCACTGTCCTAGTGCTTTCTACTGTATTTGTTTCTGAGTGTCAAGTTACTTTCTTTACAAGTGTTGGAGAATATGAAATGCCTTGGCCTGTCCATTACTTTCCCAGTAGTTTTACTGTTGGAGTAGAACAATGCATACTTAAATTGTAAATAAAAATGTTTTGACTAAGTTTTCTGTACTCGTTTAAAGATCATAAGAAGTTGGTACAGCAGAAGCCACACCACTATCTTAACTTACATTTATACACCTTTAAAACAATGTAATCCTACGTGTTTGAACACACAAAGTATTTCAGCACTACCCTCCTCGAGCCTGTAAAGAATAGCTAATAGGATGTTAGATCAATGTCATGCAAGAGCTTTAGGCTGCAGCAGTGACTTTAGGCCAGTTAGTTCTGACTGGTAAAGTCCAAGCAGTGGAGGCAAAGGGTTTTTTTGTTGGTTTCAGAGAAAGGTTATCTGGCCACAGATAACCTTTGTTACCTTTGCCACAACCCGTGCCTGTTGAAGCTATGCTTGCTCACTGGACAGATGTCTCAGTTTGGATACTGAATTTATTCCAACCATATGCAAGATTAAAAAGATGGATTAAAATAGCTAAATGATAGTTTTTAGTTGGCATGTAACTTCCTCAGCTAGAATTTAACTATCTTAAATCCCAATGCTGCTTCATAAATGCATCCCAGGGCTCCATTTTATGTTAGTCTTCACCATCTACTACCACGTGCCGTTATCTGTACTTTCCAAGATAACCTTAGTCATGGAGTCAGTGCAAAATTGCAAATATTCCCACTTGTTAATTCAAGTGGCTGATGCAAATGTGATGCACCACTGGAAGTGTGCATTGCTTCAGCCATAATCTGATTACAAGATTTAGTTCAACTTAAATGCACCAAACAGTACCTGTGGCCAAACTCAGATCAACTGAGGGAGACATTCTGAACTAAGGTAAAGATTCCAGGTATGTTTCTGAAGTACATCTCACTCTTGTAGCCAAAGAGGCTGGCTGCTTCTTGCCTTTTGCTGCACTAAAATTCAGTATTAAAAATGTCCTGCTGTCAGGCTTACAGCTATGGAATTACAAATACTACTCATTAGCATGTCTGTACTGCAGTAGTACTTTCATTTTTATTTCTACTATCTCTCCCTGCTGCTTAGCTTTCAGGATCTAGTTGTTGCCACAAAAGTTCTGCTGTTGAGGGAAAAAAAAAGAAAACTGATTTCTTCTGTGACGTGGTCATTTTCTGGTGAACAGCACTGATATTAATAAGGGGAATTTTCTGACTGCTAAGGTCACAAGGCTACTGGGTGTTCACTGAAACAGCTCAGAAACAAATGTTTACAGGCTTCAAACTGAACATTTTAATTTTGAAAATTTCATAAAACCTAGCAGAAGTTCACCAATAACAAGCTTACAAGAAAGAATCATCAAATGTTAATCAAATCTTTAGTGCCAAGGTGCTTTGTTGATTAAATCTGCCACAGTCAGATACCACATTTCCATGTAGTATATGGCATAAAATACTTATCTCTAAGGGAGAAAAGTTGGTTCAGTCTTTAAATAATGGAGCACAACTTTATTCATTTTTCTTCTCAATGACGAATTAGGTAGGTAGTTGTAAGTAGTTGTCTTCTGGGATAAGAACTGAGATAGCACAGCAAATCATTTCATGCAAAAATCCATCAGAATTAAGCTGGAAATGACTTGGTCTTTTGAGTCAAAGTGGTTTTCAGTGTAAGTTAAAATGCATTACTTCAGTGGCTGTGCAGCAATGGAATTTGATCCGGGAGCTCTTCCCATTGGAATACGATTCTGAAGGAACCGTAGTGACGCACAGCTGCTGTGCCTGGAAGGGCAGGCACTCATTACCCACGGAAAACACGCCCTGGAAACACGTCCCACTTCAGGAGCATGGCGTAAGGGCATGATCTCGGTGGGAATCCAACTGTAAGGACATTTTCAGTATTTCTAAAAGACCACTGGAAACAGTTTTCCCATTTTTTCCAGTTCTACCTCTTCCCTTCATAGTTGTTTTAACTGCTGTATCCTTCCTCCTCCTTCTTGTAATGGCTTCAAATTTCAGTTGGATTTTCTTTCTAACTTCTTTTCCTGATTTGTGTCCATCTCTGTTAGAACACAGTAACAGAGCCGCTGCATGTTCCGTGTGACTGCACCTGCACAGGAAATGGGAGACATGAGGACAACAGTCACGAATCTCAACTCTAAATACACAGCAGCATCTGAGTAATGAGAGCTGTCAGGAATGCTGCCTCACCTCCCTTCAGGGAAACAAACAATAAGAGTTAATACAATAACTGCCTTCCACTCTTTTTTTTTTTTTTTTTAAACAGATACTGTTTAAAGTGTTCTGTTGCTATCCTGAGGTGTTTTTCTTCCTAAGCACCCTGCCAAGTAACTGAAATAAAATCTTTTTTCTCTATGATTAAGAGTGTGAAATTGGTTTAATAAAAAACTAAAACTAATAGCACACAGAAAAGTTACAAGATTACTCATTATTTACATATATGCTACTGCTGCAGCACCACATCCTGTTTCAATCTAAGATTATGCTACAAACCTTCCTTACCACATCCCTCATCGTGTTTTTCTCACATAGTAACAGTGACAACAGTGCACTGCTGGGGAAAAATGTGTAATTTAACTTCTACAATTCAACAGAAGGCAAAATTCCATCTGTGACTCACATATCTAAAAACTGATTCAGTAAAGCTGGACAGTTAGCTTGTGTTACCACAAATGTCCAGCCCTTTTACAGTTATCAACCTTGCTTAGAATAAAATACTCTTCCTGTGCTTAATTAAAGAGAAATGTATAAAGACTGATGACAAAACGTGTGGATAGAAAGTGGATGGTCTTTTAAATATACAGGGAATAAAACGTGGGTGTAACAAAGTCCAAAATGAGGGCACATCTTCACTGGGTCTGTCTGGAATGCAGTAACATTCTTCACAGCACACACACAGTGCAGTGTTCTGGATTTGTGGCTCAGAAGGGATTGGTAACACCCATGTTCTGGCTATTGCTGAACAGCACAGGATTAAGGCTTCTTTTCTTTCCTCCCACTCTGCCCTTCCTGCAACCAGCAGGATGAGGATGGGCAGGAAGTTTGGAGGGAAGATGGCCAGAACAGCTGACCCGAGGCAGGCAAAGGGATATTTCATGCTATATAATGTCATGCTCAGGATTAAAGACAGGTAGAGCAAGAACTGTGTGCATGTGAGAGATTGTCTTTCCATATGGCTGTTGCTTGGAGACTGGCTGCACGTTGGACTGCTGTGGGATGTGGTAAGTGATTGCTCTTGCTGCTGCAGGTTTTTTCCCCTCTCTTCACTTACTAAGCTGTCTTTACCACGCCTCCTCACCTTTGCTCTTCCTAATTATCTCCCTTGTCCTGCTGGGGGGTGGTGAGCCAGGGGCTCTGTGGGTACTCTGCTGCTGGCTGGGGTCAGCCCACCACAACCCTTTTCATCAACACACCGAGATTCGCCCATTTAGTTTTCCTCTTTCCTAACAACATCTCCAGCTACAAAGAAACTTACCTAAAATCTTGTTAATAAATTGAGGTCTCCTTGATGCAGGTAAATAGACTCCCAAGAGAAAGACTGGAATTCCCGATAAAGCAATGCCAATTCCAATCACTGAATTTATAAAGTCGCTATAGAGTGGCATTACTACCAGAAATACTGTGCACATACAGAATATTATTGGGAAAGCCAGACTCAGCTGGAGACAGAAAAACAGAACAGAATGTTATTGAAATATTCATTGCCTACAGTTACAAACACTGAGATACAGACTTTTCCCTCTCAACCCCACTTTGTGAAATGATCTGCTTTTCCTCTTCTATATCTGGCTATTTGGAACCATAAGCAAATATTGCAGAATTATTTTTAACAGAACTGCTGCTAAAAATTGCAGAAGTTAACAGGTATGGTAACTCTGCTGTGCTGAAAGAAGCTGTATAGTGGCATGAAGTGTTTCTAGGAAAGTCCAGTAAAGCCTGGGAAACCAGAATGACTTCTCTGTGTAGAACATCAGCTTAAAGTATGAGAAGGTCATTAAAGGATCAGATATCATCAGAGCTAAATGTGATCAACACTGACAGAGATATTTAAGCATTCCCTATCAGAGATTTCTAATGCAAGATAAAAAGCTGACTACTGTGTAAGCCTCTAGAGACATTCCTTGTTGGCAGAGAGAAGGGATACTGATTGAACTAGCACACAGTAATACACTATTCCAACAATCTCTTCCCTAGCAGACCAGCTAACTTTCATTGTACAATATAAAATGGAAACCATGTTTTACGTCCTGATCAATTTGTAACCTTTGGACATAAAATGTATGGTCCAGATTTTAGACAGCACTTTTATACTTTTACGTATTTTATTACATGGAAGACAGGGATTTTAAACAACCGTGTCCTAAGTGTTACCTTAAGAGGCCTGGGTCGATCTGGTTCTTTCCAACGTAGATATAATTGTCCAGCAATAGACAGACCAACAAAAAACCAGTAACTGAAACTGAAGTAATTAATAAGCTTGAAGACATCTTCCACAGCCAGGTAAAAAAGGGTCATAATACACTGTTAGAAAAGAACAAGAGTGAGAACGACAACAAAAGATTGAAACTTACTGTTCATGCTGCTTTTTGCCTGAAGTAACACCTTGCATTCCTTGGTGTACGGAATGCTCTTATGCCTCACAAAATCACTCTTTCAGCAAGCACCTTGATACCAGTAAATTTGAAGTTCTCTCCCATGAATTTTTCAAGGTGTTCTTTTAAATAATTCCCATCTGAGAAGTTGAAAAGGAAAGCAATAACAACTTACATTGAAGAGCAGTGCTGGCACAGGTGTGAACCTCTTCAAGTGGATCATAGACAACAGGTCAGGAAGGTGACCTTCTCGAGATCCTACAAAAAATAGCCTGAAAAGAATAGTAAGAAAATACATGTTGAGGCCACAGGTGAGAGAGAATGTATTAAAGAAAATCAAAAAATAACCAGTATAATATTTACACCACTCAATTTCCATCCTTTAAACTGGGACCTTTAAACTTCAACCCTTCTTTTAGAGATGTACTGCACAACAACCATTAAAAGATACATAAGCTTTTGGAAACATGCTGTTAACATCTACTTTTAAAAAATCATGCTACAGCTAAAATAGACAACACCTACAGTAACAGAAACAAATTTCTATTGTTTCACAAAACAGAGGAGTAGTTTTCAATGACCACCAGAAGAGATTTAGGTCACTAAAATGATGTCACTCAAACACATGCTCAAAAAACCACACATAATTTTAGTATCAACTGTTCTGTATTGACTGCTTCACCAGATGATGTTCCCCTTTGTTTTCAGTAGAGGCACTGCAAGTACATTCAGTGGAGGGGAAAGACCTTAAAATGTCTGAATAAATCTATTTAAAATTTTTGCTACTCAAATCCACAATCAGTGCTCAAAAAAAAGCTTCTATACTGTATCCTAAGCTTTCTGACTGCAGCAGTAGCCATTTTAAAAGTTTTTTTCCAAGTAAAAAGTTTTAAACTACTGATTTTCAAAGGTCAGTAAGTTTTAAACAAATACATTTGAAAATAAGAACTTGCTAGAATTATTGTACCAAGTAAAATGGAAGGTAATCCAAGTAATCAGAAGGACTGAGGACTCATCACACAGACAACATTAATACGATCTTTAATTGTGCTCTACATACTCTCAGGAATGCACTGGGGAAGTAGAGTAGTGTTAACATCCACAGAGGTTTATTTAGATGTGTTATTTTACTGTGGCTATTTATTATAGGGTCAGTTACAACAGTATTTTTGCCACTCTCATAATAGATGAGCATAACAGTACCATGTAAAAATATTTATAATCATTTGTCAAACTGAAAGAGATATGCACTACCTTGATGATGCTAGAATTGAAGCATTAAGTCCACCAAAACAAGAAAAGGCTACAGCAATGGGAATTGTCCAGCTGAAGCTACCAAAGGCCTGGTCAGCAAATGTCTGATGAAAGGGAAAAGAAAAAGGAAACATGAAAATACCTGTGAAAAAGTGTATGCAAAACAACGACATCAGAGCTTGTGTAATGAGTTTGTATGGAAAAACAGTAACACAGTAAGGACAATCCATAATGCAGCACAAAGCAGCACACAGCCTTCTTATTTATGAATTCTAAATAAGCACAAACTTCTTTAGCCAAGCACCTGAAGTCACATTTACTGCTCACAAAAATAATGCTCACAAAGAAAAACAAAATGGTCCGAGAATTTTCTCACCAATATATTTTATTACCTAAGTGACCTACAGAACTCATCTGAACATTCTCTGGACTATAGAGAATAAAGGACAAAAACATCAATAAAAGGGAAGTGCCATATTGCAGTGGATAAACATAACCAACATCACACCTACTGTTTATAGACAGCATTCTAGGAATCTAGATTTATTTTCCTTCTCTTGCAATTTCCTAAGCAACATCTTCTTTTCCTTTAGTTTCACCACCAGGGGCTCTGGGCTCTACTCTCACAACATGGCAAATGACAGAGCAAGTTATCTTATCAGCAGCCATTTGTTAATGTTGCTGGACAATACTGCAAGCCAGCTGTGGTGACTGAGCTCTAAACCCAAGAAATCAGGAAAAGCCACTGATTACCAGTGATCTTGGATCTATAATAAAAATGGGTAATAACTTGCAAGATATTGTCCTGGTCAATTCTGTTCAGCCTCCTGGATGGAGAAAAAAGGGAGAGAGACTCAGAACATCAGGCAACACATCTGAAAAATGAAGGCATTTAATCCTGAAGACTGAGAGGTATTCTAAGCACCTTCTTGGCCTGAGCACTGTATGTATCTGAACACTAGCACTAGTGTAGAGTTAGGCAGAAATCCCCTCATGCTGCGTCCAGAGGACGTGGGTGGAACTCTTCCTACCTATCCCACTTCTGATGGCTAAATTGCTTCCATGATTTCTTTTCAGAAGCAAACTAACAGTCATGGTAGAAAAAGAATCATATCTACATTAGGCAGCATGAGATAACTATTTATAGAAACAGAAAGGTACATACTTATGTAAGTACCTTTATATACCTAATACTTACTTGTACTCAAACAAACTCCAAAGACTAACACTTTGCACCTTAGCAGGCAGCAGCAATCTAAACGTTTTTACGAACCTGTCTCTAAATCACTTTCTCTTCTCTCTCTCACTGTTTGGATTTCAAGATCCTCAGACATACAAAGCACATATAGTAGTTCAGCTTTCTGCAGGGTTGTCTATTACAAACATTTTCTTCAGTTTTTAATATTTTAATATTTTGAAACACCTCCCCCTTCACCTCCCCTTTAAACTAGTGGTCTTCATCGTAACCTTTATGAGCTAAGGAGCTCAGTCAAAGGTGGTTAGCATTCAGAACTGGTCTTTATTTGTACCATAAAAAGTTACATTGATTTAACAGTGGTCACATTTTGATTTAACTACTGCAGGAACAAGATCATCAAGAGCAGTGCATTTTGATCTGTTTTCTTAATGTTTTTGTAGGTCAAAAAAGCCTAAATGACTTTATATAGTTGGGGGATTTTGTTATAAGTGTTTGATTTTCATGAGACAAAACCCTGTATATAAAGTCAATCTTTAAACCATAAAATGCTGAGAAATTCACTGACATAAAACAAAGCTTGGCCAGCTCAGGTTTCCTGTTCTTTGTCAGCACTGGCAAAACGCCATGTTCAGCACATTATTCAGGTTAAGGTTGGAATCCAGCTTTGCTTAGCTGTATAACATCATTTACACTAAAAAGCAGAATGTATTCCATCCTTTTGTGTAATTTTGTTGAGCCTCAGCAAAGGTAGATAGGATTTCCTGCTGCTGAAGGACAGTGAAAATCATATAATCACTTCAGTGGGAACCTTGCCAAAAGATTCAAAGTCAACACACCAGCTGTGTTAGTCACCCTGGCTCTCAAAAAAGCACCTCCCTTCCTGAGCTCTTTTAGTTTAGATTTATTACCACAGGTTCCCTCCAAATGGAGCTTCAACACGGGGGTGGACAAATGCAACAGATTCCCAGAGATATTATAAAACTTAACACCAAACAAGTACAAAAGAACTAATCCATGTACAAATTCTACTTCACGCTGAGATCAGAACTTCAATTTAGCAAAAGACCATGCCATAAGAAATGTGTGCTGTATACCATGGATTACCAATCTTCAGGCGATTGAAACTGCAACTCATAATTTACATTATTGTATATAAAAGATTTCTGCAGCCCAAGAATAGACAATGATTAGAATCCCAAAGTGCTTCTCTCAGATCCTTATTGGATCTAAATGCAGCTCTGAGAAACCCTGATGGAGAACGTATTTCATTACGGCCCAGTGACTGAATTAAGACAACTTCTCCAGACAAGTAAGAACGAGGACAAGATGAAAACTCTAATAGGCAATTGTTGTAATAGCTTAAAGGACTATTTAAACCTGGACTGCTGATTTCTGAAGCCAAACAGCAAGTGAAATTACAAGACACAAAATTTAAAACTGGTAGAGGATTTTTAAATATACAAAGCTAAGATATAGAACTCACTCAACAAGATGTTAGAGAATTAAGATGTTTAGTAAGATTGCCTAAAGGATAAGCATTTAGATAAGTCATATTAACAGCTAAAGTTAAAGAAGAGAGAGAAAATGTATGAATGTAACCTTTTGCTGAAGGACGCAAATTAGCTAATATGTGATTTTGAGAAATGTTTTCCCCCCAAAAGGCACTCTTCACAAGCATTTTCCATTTCCTTCTGAAACATCTAGTAATGGGCCAGTGTGGAATGACAGGTGCAGGACTAACTCAAGGGTCATTTCCAGCCCATATTGTAGATCTGATTTTTCTAAATATGCTAATGTTGTTTCACACATCTTGGAAAACAACAATCATTCATGTGAGCAGTAAAAACCATAAATTATATACAGATCAAAATGTTAAAGATTCAATGTATTCTGGATGTTCTACAACAACTGCTGATGAAGCTCAAAGCCTAAACAAGTAATTTCCCTACATCTGTACAAGTCACACTCTTGAAAGAGAGATAACATAGTGACAGCCTTTAGCAAGCACTGTCATTTCCAGTGTACTTTCTAATGCTGCAGGTGGCATTCCTAACAGAGCGAAGGGTGGAGAAACTTCGAGAACTAAACTTTTTCCTAAGTGAGGTAACGTAAAAGACTATTTTAATTGAGAATCATCTAAAAAAAGTTCAGCTTGGTTTGCCAAGTAGATCTGCCTGCAAAACGATCTTTCAGCAAAACAAAGTGAAAAGGTACCTAAACTTGGCCTAAATTTTCTAGTGATATTAACTAGCTTAACACGACACATAAAGAACCACCTGCCTTTATACAGGTGTTTTCTGACAGGGTTTCACCCTCGTTTCTAACAAGTTCATGTACTAATACTCAACACTGGAGTACAAATTTATAAATCCTTCAACACTCTCTTTTCAACAGATGCCAAGAAATGTCTTCTCCAGAGCTCAGCTATACTGTCTTGTGAACAAAGACAAACCTAAAGATCTCTACAGTGTTTCTTGCTGAAAGAATTACTGGAAGCGTCAGTAAAAGCGGCCACAATAAACATTCACTGTGTGCGTTTGTCAGAGGATTATTTTGCACAAGAAGGTAGGGCAGAGAAAAGTCCAACAAGCAATCAAGTTATCAAGCACATACACCAAGTGCACTGTACCAAGAGAATTAAAAAAAAAGGGGGGGGAGAAGAGTTAGTGGCTGCTTTCTGCTCCAACTGCAATTGTACAGTCATGGATCCTCCACAAATGAGCCAGACCTGGGCTCCGAACTGAGCATCTCACCAGTTCCACTTTAACTGCCACTACTTCTGGGAGTAGGGAAGTGCATTTATAAAAACAAATGAGGTGGCACAAAGGGAAGAATGGAGCATTCTCACGAGTATGTGGAGGATGACAGAGGAGCCTACCTGGAGGCAGCTCTAAGCAGAAGCATTTAGTCCACCATAACGGGAGAAAGTCACCACTATGAGGATGGACTTCGTCTCGGGTTCCTTCTGAGAAAGTCTAAAGAGCAAGAAGGATTAAGAGATTAAATTGTCATCTCTGCTATAGTCTGACAAGTCCTGTAGTCCAGACTCGAACTGTAACTTCTTCTACCAGTTAGGAAACAGAGATTCAGTGGCTGATACAACACTTGCAATTACAGATAAAGTCCTTTTATGCCCTCCCATCCATTGGACACCTAAGGTATACATATATACACATTCACTGTAGGACATGCACCTGCAATTGTTCCCCTTAGTTCTCTTTTATTTTTTTCCCAAATCATCAACAGGGAATAAAGATGAAGGAAGATGTTTCCAGCCATGCACTTCTCAGCTGAACTGCCCTTATTCCATCATGGCTAAAACGTTACATTACTCCCAGAAGAATGGGCAAAAACTGAATTACAGCTTTGTTTCAAGACATGAATGACTGGTTTAAGTACATTTTCTTTTTATCTTGGGTTAGTTTGATCTCATGATCATCAGCTGGTAACTTGTGCGTGGTTTGCAAGAACACTTTTTTGTCCCTTTAAAGGTCCAAACCACAGTTCTGTACAAACAGGTTGAACTAAAATGAGCGTGAATTGCCCTGTGCAAAGAGCTCCCACAACAGTATACACAGAATACTGCCTCACACTCGGTAATTCAGGCACACAGATGATTAGCAAGACCCACATTTATGTTACAAATCACAAGATGAGAAGTTTTTCATCACACTTAGCTGAACACAAAAAGTGCACTTAGAGGCACACAAAAAATGCCAGACTGCACTGAGAGCGCGTGGAGCTGCAAGCACATGCTGGGCTGGCAAAGCACTCAACAGTACTGATTGGAGGGATAAATGCCAAGAGAATGTAGTCTAACATGAGTAAGAAACTTACACAGCACTATACCCAACGATTATGAGGTGTTTCTATTAGGAAAGTTTAAAAGGCATCTTTTCAAGATCC